TCTCCTAAACTACTCATCTACTTAGCATCTACTCGGGACACTGGAGTCCCTGATCGATTCACAGGCAGTGGGTCTGGGACAGAGTTCACTCTCACCATCAGCAGTGTCCAGGCTGAAGATCTGGCAGATTATTACTGTATGCAAGGTTATGATACTCCTCCCACAGTGCTTCAGCCTCCAACAAAAACCTCCTCTGAGAGTCTCACCAGCTGCCTGCACCACACACAGCCCTGGACCTACACACTTCCCCCTTCTGTTTGAGAACCAGTGTGGCTGAAACAGTGATGCAAACATTTGCAAAAATAAGATGTGTTCAATATCTCTTATGTCTTTTGGCATGAAAAACTTTTATACGATAATACAAAGGAGAACTCAGTATTATCTTTCTATTTGTTCTGTAACACATTAACACAAACTCTGTTGCTTGACTGTGAGGGATTTATCTTTTTATAGCTCTGGTGTCCATCATAAGCGTCTATGGGCTAAAGTGATGATTATGACAAATTGTATTTCTGTTGAAGGCTGTGGCAAGAGTGTTTCCTGCTCTTTCTAGATTCTGGAGGGCTTTCTTACCTCCCTACTGGTGTCCATTTCTTCTGTCTTTTCTTTTCCTTTCCATAAATTCTTTTAACTTTTATTACACTTAGTTAATTAATTACTTTCATCTGTATATGAGTGTGCATGTTTCTAGTTGCACATGTAACATGTTATGTTTCTAGAGGTCAGAGGACGCTTGACTTGGTTGTCTCTTTGACATTTGGGTTCTGAGGATCAAGCTCAGGTTTGTCATCAGGCTTGGTGGTAAGTGCTTTTGGCATATGAGCCATCTTGCTGGCCCTTAAATATCTTTTATTGATATAAATTCATTGCACACAGTTCTTTTGTTTGGGTTCTTGGTTTTATTATTTCTCTGAAGCATGTTGAAAGTCTTGAATTTATAATATACATCTACATGTTTTTTCTTTTTTTAATTTAAAAATATTTAACCTTTTTTAAATTAAGAATTTTTTTTAATTCATGTTTACATACCAACCACAGATCCTCCTTTCTTCCCTCCTCCCAACCTCCAGCATTCCCCCAGTCAACCCCCATTTCATCCTCAGATATGGTAAGGCCTCCCATGGGGAGTCAGCAGAGCCTGGTACATTAAGTAGAGGCAGGTCCAAGCCCCTCCACCTGGCTCAAGGCTGTGCAAGGTATCTCCCTACAGGGGACCCCTTAAGCAGATCAAGCTACACAACTGTCTCGATTATGCAAAGGGCCTAGTCCAGTCCCATAGATGATATAATGGTATACATATGTGACCCCAAAAATTCTACCAGGGAGCTCCTAGAGCTAATAAACACCTTCAGTAATTGGGCCAGATACAAGAGTAACTCAAGAAATAGATGTTCTTAAACATGAAAATGCTAAGTTAGATCACAAGAATGACAAGGAGGATCAGAACTTCCAGTCTATAGAATTCAGGTAGAGCAGCTACATGCTAAAGCACAGCTGGCAAGACTTGACTAAGAACTGGGAGAAAAAGGAAAAGAGACACAAGACATGTTGAAAACTGTGGAGAGGCTGCAAAAGACGAGAATGATGGTGTCTAGGCATAGCCCCAGGATCAGAGAGGACACTTCTGCCAAAAGGCTGAAGGAAGAAGTTTTCCACCCAAATAGAGGAAATGCAAACTATTTCCCTGTAACCCTACATGCCAAACAGTACCACCAATATGTCTTTACTGATTCCCATATTTCAGAGGTTTATGAGAAAACTATAGACTGAGAAACAAGCTACACAGATTGATTTCAGAGAGAAATATGCTGAGGATGGAATCTGAAAACAATACAATACAGCAATTTGAAAACTCCGTGAAATGGGTAAAGAATGATACTGCTGCACACATTGAGCCCCTCAAAGCATCTCATGAGAGAGAAACAGAGAAACTCCTTTGCAAAAATGGCTTTGAAAATTCCTCTTCCAAAGTAGACAAACTGCATCACAAAATCACAACTCAAGAGGGGCTTATAAAACATTTACAAGGTCAAGATAATGATCTGGAGGGTAAACAATAATCCTTACATTTCTCAAATTCAGGACAAAATCCCACAGGACAGATTACAAATCTCTTGTGTGAATTGAAAGAAGATAATGAAAACCATACACCAGAGATGAAACCTTTCGTGAGCTTGAAAGGATGAGTAGGTAGATGGAGATGGAGCAAAAGCAGGGAGAGCAGGAACTGCAGCAGATAATACAGCAAACACACCAAGTAGTAGAAACTGAGCACAACAAGGGAGCTGAGAAATGGAAGAGATTTGCACAGCTAAAGAATCGGGAGCTGGATAAGTTCTGCACAAAATTAGACTCCTTACGAGAGGTTCTGTGGGAGCTGCACTAGATGTGCCAGTTGCTCTTGCAGATGAAGTGAACACAGCAAGAGTTTTAGTTGGACTTCTGAACATTGTTACCTCATTGGAAAACAGATGAAAATGTGCCACTGTTGGGACAGCTTTTGAAAAACATAGATCCACTACACAACCATATGTGGACATTACCAGAGTAACATGTAAGAATTAAGTGCCCTCAGCAAACAGGAAAAAGAACATACATGAGAGTGTATTTTACTACAAACCATTAACTAATCACGTTAAAGATGACATTATGAGCAGGTTCTGTCAGTGATTAGCGGGTCTGGTCCCCCAATAGTCTCCTTCCAGCGTCCGGGAAGAATCTCCAAACAGCTGATAATTTAATCTTTGATGAAAAGAAATGAATCTATGTACACAGAACTCCTTAGTCCATACACTTTATTATTCTGTGTCAGTTCTCTCTCTACACAGCTTCTCTTCTGCTCTCATGTCTAGTTCCTTTCTTGCTGATTTGTCTCTACCTTTATCTGTTGTCCCCTCTAAATTCTTTCTTAATTCTCTCATCTTAGTTCTGCCCCATCTAGATTTTCATCCATCTAGTTCCTTCCCATCTTAGCTCCTCTCCCATCTCTTTCTTTCTTATCTTGTTCTTCCCCATCTGGCCCTTCCTCATCTTCCATCTCGTTCCTCTGTCATTCTCTTTTAGCTGTTCAATCTAGTTCTTCCCTTCTAGTCCATTCCTCTTCAGTTCTTACCGATCTAGTTCTTCCATTCTCTTTTTTTCTTCACTCTCTCCTCCTCTCTGTCTCCTTATTCTCTCAGTTCTTGTTAAGTCTCTTAGGAATCCAGTTATAAACCCAAGCAATAGTAATCCTCTGGCAGAGCAAGGTCACCAGGCTTGAATTCTTAAGGGGTCATAAAGGCAGGTAAGAATTTTCCTTAAGCAGTGACCACCAAGCTTTCTTTTACAACCCAAAAGGGGAGTGGTAAAGGAGGAGGTCAACAGAGAGCTAATGATCAGTTGGTATATCAAAAAGGGGATCTATGTGCTCAGTCTACATTCCTAGAAGTGGTTAGGTGAGAAGTTAGGTGCCTATTAGTAAGGTTGTATAAGAAAGGAGGTCTCACCCTAAATTGCACAAGAAATAAAGCTATCCACCTGACCTAGGAGACAGGTGTTATATTGTTTGGCCTTGGATGCTTGATAGGTATTTTAGATAAATACACTGTTAGGAGTTCTTGGAAGCTCACATACCATTACAAGAAAATCACTGAATGAACCAGCTAATATATATACAAAAGCTAAAATATTATCAAGACTTCTTAAGTCATAGCTTGACCTTTGGAAAAGTTCTTGACTTTTCCAAGTAGTAGCTTTTGTGATAGTAGTTGAATTCCATTATGTTTTCCTGTGGCTTTCAGCAAGGTTCCATAATGTCAGAAGACCATGATTAGCAAGGTTTACTGCAAAAGGGCTCTCTGCTTGGCTAGAGGGGAAGAAGAGAATTTGTCATCCTCAGCCACATTTTATAGATTAGATGTGTGCTTTTCATTTTCTCTATGTCAGAAAATCAGCTCTTTCTCATGAGTGGATAGAGGAATGTGGGCCTTATAGTGGGAATAATCTCATTGACTGACAGCTGAGCTATAGAGCATCCTCAGTATTTAGATGATTATTGTAATTTCTGTACAGGGAAATAGCAAGCTCTCTTGGGTTTTTTGGACTTTATATAAAGTGACAATCAATGATGTAGGTTAATGTATCCCTCAATGTAGGCAAGGTCTAGTAAACAACAGTCCTAATTTTTGGCAGCTCCAAAGTTATAAGCAATATATCTTTTTCTGTTGAAAAAGGAATAATGCCAGGCGGTGGTGGCACATGCCTTTAATCCTAGCAGTTGGGAGGCAGAGCCAGGTAGATCTCTGTAAGTTCGAGGCCAGCCTGGTCTACCGAGTGAGATTTAGGATAGGCACCAAAACTAAACAGAGAAGTCCTGTCTTAAAAAAAAAAAGAAAAAGGAATATTATTTTGAATAGAAAAATAAAAACATTCATAAAATAGCTAGATTATTTTGCAATCCCATTTTTGAAAGTACTTCACATATGTGTGAGATAGTGGTTAATCAAAGCCTCTTTGTTTTCAAGTATTTCTCCCAATCTGTCTTAAAGCCCCTCTCTGGAGAGGGAGCTGTCCATGGAGTCTTGGTGTCTTGGTGTCTACAATGGGTGCTTCTGGTAAACCATGTGGAAGAGGCAGGTGACATGAGGACACCTGGTCCTGTTAGCACCAAACAGCATGATAAGAGCTGCATACTGAATTGTAATTTTTAGCTACTTTAATATGTAAAAAGACACTGTGTGTAAGTTTTACATTAATAGTACATTTTGATTTGGAATATATTCCAAATTCACATACCAGTAAATCTAATTCAAAGATAAAACTTGCAAAGCAGAACTTTTCATAAAGGAAAGCAAGTCTTAGTGTACTTGTGAGCAAATGTTGTGAAGTACCGCACCTGTTAAATACAAGATGTGTAATTATTGTCTTAATGCCAACATTATGTAATGTATTTTTTTTTCTGAAATGGGAGTAAAAAGCATTATTATTTTCATTTTTTTCCTGTACAACATTTTAAAGTTATAATACAAATAATTTATTTTATTAAAGAATGAAGCAAGAGACTCATAGATGCTTTGTAGCATTCTGCCAGACCTTCAAAGAAGAGCTGACATTAAAATTCCTGAAACTGCTCCATGCCATAGAAAAGGAAGGAACACAACCAGACTCATCATATGGAGCCAGCATTACCCAGATGACAAAACAAAGATACAAAGGGGATAAGCCAGAGAGGAGAGACCAATTTCCCTGATTAGCATAAGGACTGCCTAGTTCTTGCAAATGAAATCTAAGAACACATTAAGAGGTCTGTACACTGTAACCAAGTTGATTTCTATTCATGGATCAAAGGTTGGTTCAAACAAAAAAAAATTACCTTCAATTCAGCATAAAGTGTTTAAGAAGTAGAAATCCTGTCATCATCTTGAGTAGTGCAGAACACTCATTTGAAATCATGATAAAATCCCTGAATGGACCAGTAATAGAATCTTTCCTGAATATCACTAACAATATAGGGCACAGTTAGTGGCATGTGCAGCCCTGTCTGAAGCTTCATGCTGGAAGAAAGCAGAATATTTGGTTTCTATTGTCAGCACTGAGACAGAAAAAGTCAACTGTTCATTTTCTTTCAAAATTGGAGCATGTTGTCCTGGAGATAGATGTTTTGGTTGCACAATACACTGACCCTTAGTCACACTATCTTTATTGAAAACATCAAAGTCCTAAACAATGCACAGACAGCTGATGGTTTAAACTGTTCTGTGAACAACATGTAGACACAGGATTACTGTGATGGGTTCTTTGAGGAAGTCTTAACTGATGTGGAACCAACATATTGCACAGATGAGTGTCTGCAACAACCTGGGAGCCCACCTGGTAGGGAACGTGTATGCCAAGTTTCTCCTTAAAGGGGATGCTGAGAAGGCTGTAAAGAAGTTGAATAATCCTTAGTTTAAAAGACAGGATATCCACAAACAGGTGTCCTAGGTGTCTAACTTCAGAAAAGCCTGCTGGCTCCAGTTCAAAATGGGAGAGTGTACAAGAGAAGCTTCTGCAACTTCATGGCCCTGAAGCATGTCCAGAGAGGTAAGAGTGCTGTGTGCCAATTCAAGAAACATAATCTAAGCCCCCAACCCTGGAGCTGCATTACTGATCCAGAGACCAGGGGCCTGATAGTAGAAGAGGTGGTGGAGGCTGAGACGATGACTGATCTGGGCAATTCTGAGCCAAACTGTCTCTGCTAGACAGTGATATAGTTGATTGACTACCCAGTTCAAAATGGGATTAAAAATAATAATAGTAGCAATGAAACAATGATAGATTTCTGAAAGAAATTTCTAATGCCACAGTAAAACAAGATAAACCAAAAACAAAGATTATGACTGATAAAACTATCATTTTAATATAATTAGTGGGGGAAATCAAAGCATTGCTTCACAAATCTGAGATGAGAAAGGGGAGCAAGCCCACTCTCTCACTCATATTCAATGTAATGCTCAAACCTTAGTCATAGAAAAAAGGCAAGAGGGAGAAACAAAAGGACTATAAATAACAAATGAAGATGTCAAATTATAACAATATGTTTTTATACTTAAAAGACTCTCAAAACTCAACCAGAAACTTTTAGACCTGAAAACACTTTCAGCAAAGAGCAGGATATAAACAAAGAGCCCTATATAAAGCCAACACACAAAAATCAGAAGTTTTTCTGTGCAATAGTAACAAACTTACTAAGAAAAAACATCAGGGATAAATTCAATTCACAACTTCAAAATAAAATACCTAGGAACCAGTTTATGCAAGGAAGTTAAAGATCCCTACAATGAAATCATTGGGACGTTGAATAATGAAGTTGAAGAAGATAGAGGATGGAAAGATCTCCCACTCTCAATAGAGAAAACCATGCAGGCTGTGGTAACAGTGTGATACAAGAATACAATCCACACCAATATCCCAGGGACATTGCCCTCAGAGTTGGAAAAGCAACAGTGAAAATCTCACTAACATCCACTGAAGTGAGTGTTGCAGTGTTCAGCTGTGCAGTGACTTATGCACCTCTTGCTTTGAATTACATCAAGGGTGAAGGCCTGTGTGTGCATCACTGCTTCAATCACTGGAAGAAAAAGAAATTACTGGAGGCCTTTGGGAGAGCCTGCTCCAAGACTGCCTCCAGGGAATGAAAAAAAATCATTAGTGAATGTAGTGCAGTGAGGGCTAGACTTTTCTATCTGAGGGATAAATAAGGAAGCATAAGCTTTCTGATGGTAACTTACTCTGTTATTTAATCTTAAAAAAAATCTCTTTCTGAAAATCTTTCCATCTCCACAAAGCTACATAGCTCTCTTTAAGACCTACATCTCTCTCCTGCACAGCCACACATCTCTATATGCAGTTACAACTCTTTTCCATACAGCTTCATCTTCCTTGTTTCCACACTGTTACATCTCTCTCCACACAGCCACAGCTATACTTTTCATTTACCCAGCTTTCTCACCACACAACCACATCTCATTCTTCACACACTTCTCTCTACCTCTCTCTACATCTCTCCCTCTCATATAACTAAATCTATTTATTGACACTTCTTACATCTCTCACACGTCTTTCTCTTTATACTCAGCTACATATCTCACTACAGCAAAAACTCTGGACAAATATGAATCATATTTTCAGGGTCACACAGCACTTCTTGAGTAAACAGTAAGACACAGTGCCATTCTGGTCACACAGTTTCTCTCAGACTAGGGATGTCACACTGATGGGTCAGCTTCAGTGCCAGTGGTTCTGGAAGAGACTTCACCCTCACCATCCATCCTGTGGAGGCTGATGATGCTGTAACCCATTACTGTCAGCAGAATTACGAGCTTTCTCCCACAGTGCTCCAGGGCTAAGCAAAAACCTCCTGAGATTGCTGCTCACTGAGGCTCAGTCTTTGAGAGGTGTCAAATGACATTTTAGAAATGTTGTAAAAAAGGTAAAGCTGGGACTTCCCTTCTGGACAAGAGGTGAGTGCCTGGGCTCAGCTTAGACCCCATCCCTGGGCACCAGCCACTCCGGAGAAGACCTGCCCAACTTGGCCCCAGGTTCTGGCCACAAGGCAGGTTCCCTTCTAGCCCTACTGGGAAGGCTCTCTTTCTCCAAGACCCCTGGCAGACACTGCAATCTCCATGCCCTGCCCCAAAGCCCATCCAACCAAGACCCCAGCCACTTCCTGAGACTTAGGGACCGCCCCCAGCTCCCATCCTGCCCCGGACTTCCCTTCTGGACAAGAGAGCTCCCATCTAGACAAGAGAGAGAGACTTCCTGAATCTGTCAGCTCTGTCTGGACCAAGTGTACTGATAAGACCAAGGGTGGTTCAACATACAAAAGTCCATCAATGTAATACACCATATAAACAAACTCAAAGAAAAAAAAAACACATGATCATCTCACTAGATACAGAAAAGGCATTTGACAAAATCCAACACCACTTCATGATAAAGGTCTTGGAGCGATCAGGAATACAGGCTACATACCTAAACATAATAAAGGCAGTTTACAGCAAGCCAACAGCCAACATCAAATTAAATGGAGAGAAACTTAAAGCAATTCCACAAAAATCAGGAATGAGGAAAGGCTGTCTGTTCTCCCCATACTTATTCAATATAGTACTTGAAGTTCTAGCCAGAGCAATAAGACAACATAAGGAGATTAAGGGGATACAAATTGGAAAGGAAGAAGTCAAGCTTTCCCTATTTGCAGATGACATGATAGTATACTTGAGAGACCCCAAAGATTCCGCCAAGGAACTGATACAGCTTATAAACACCTTCAGCAACATAGCAGGATAAAGATCAACTCAAAAAAATCAGTAGCCCTCCTATATACAATTGACAAACAGGCTGAGAAGGAAATCAGAGATACATCACCCTTTACAATAGCCACAAATGACATAAAATACCTTGGGGTAACACTAACCAAGCAAGTGAAGGACCTATATGACAAGAACTTTAAGTCCCTGAAAAAAGAAATTGAAGAAGATGTCAGAAAATGGAAAGATCTCCCATGCTCATGGATAGGCAGGACTAACATAGTAAAAATGGCAATCTTACCAAAAGCAATCTACAGATTCAATGCAATCCCCATCAAAATATCAACACAATTCTTCACAGACCTGGAAAGAATAATACTCAACTTCATGTGGAAAAACAAAAAACCCAGGATAGCCAAAAGAATCCTGTACAATAACACCACCTCTAGAGGTATCACGATCCCTGACTTCAAGCTCTACTATAGAGCTACAGTAATAAAAACAGCTTGGTACTGGCATAAATACCGGCATGTGGACCAATGGAATCAAATTGAAGACCCTGACATTAATCCGCACACCTATGAACATATAATTTTTGACAAAGGAGCCAAAAGTGTACAATGGAAAAAAGAAAGCATCTTCAACAAATGGTCCTGGCATAGCTGGATATCAACGTGTAGAAGACTGCAAATAGATCCATATCTATCACTGTGCACAAAACTTAAGTCCAAGTGAATCAAAGACCTCAACATAAATCCAGCTACTCTGAACCTGCTAGAAGAGAAAATAGGAAGTAGTCTTGAATGCATTGGCATAGGAGATCACTTCCTAATTGTAACACCAGTAGCTCAGACACTGAGAGAAACAATCAATCAAAGGGACCTCTTGAAACTGAGAAGCTTTTGTAGAGCAAAGGATACAGTCAACAAGGCAAAGCGACAGCCTACAGAATGGGAAAAGGTCTTCACCAACCCCACATCTGACAGAGAACTGCTATCCAGAATATATAAGGAACTCAAGAAATTTGACAGCAAAATGCCCAACAGTCCAATTAAAAAATGGGCTATAGAACTAAACAGAGAATTCTCAACAGAGGAAACTCAAATGGCTGAAAGACATTTAAGAAATTGCTCGACATCCCTAATCATCAGGGAAATGCAGATCAAAACAACTCTGAGATACCATCTTACACCTGTCAGAATGGCAAAGATCAAAAACACTGAAGACAGCTTATACTGGAGAGGATGTGGAGCTAGGGGAACTCTCCTCCACTGCTGGTGGGAATGCAAGCTTGTACAACTACTGTGGAAATCGATATGGCGCTCTCTTAAGCAATCTCCCCCAAGACCCAGCTATACCATTCTTGAACATATACCCAAGGAATGCTCAATCATACCACA